ATGTCTATTTATAAAATAATTTTGAATTTCTAATGATGTTCTAATAATGAATGAGTCGATATTTTCATCCTGAACAATATAAAGCGAAGCACAGAAAGTCAGTTACTTCAGCTGAATATTGTCATTAAAACTCCTACGATATTTAACTTAGCATTGGAGGAAAATAATCAATAATGAAAGATCTAGTATGCAGTAAAATTTTACAGTGTATATTGATTTGATTATAATATTATACTATCCCGAGAATAGTTATTATTTCCAGATAAATATTAGCATATCAATATAATTATTCTTTGATTACAACTTCAAACAGAATGTACAATAATCATGTATGGTGAAATTTAATATTTCGTAAGACCAACATTGAATATATGTGTTTTTACGTGTTAAAACACCTTGGTTTTCAAACTTTTTTTCATATATGTTCCATTCCGGAGCGAAAATTATAAGGTAGCCAGAAATTTACAAAATGCTTTTTATTGTGAAAATGTCTAATGTTGTAATACTCAATTCAGTCTCTCCGAAAACAGAAATGCATGTTTGACTGGAGCTTTTGGTCTATAGCCTAATATAGGTCTAATGTGAGTGGTCCATTATGGACCTGCCATATGTCTAAATATCGTGTCTGTTATATCTCTCTGCGTGCATTGCAAAATACAACAATGGTATCTCAAATCCATATCCCGAATGTTATAATACTCAACAGTCTGTCCGAAAACAAAATGCATGTTTGACTGGAGCTTTGGTCTATAGCCTAATATTAGGTCTAGTGTGTGTCGTCCGGGATGGGCACACCGTGTGTCTAAAGATCGTCTCTGTCATATCTCTCTGCGTACGTTGCAAAATACAACAATGGCATCTCGAGCAGAAAACAGCTGTGGTCTGACCTTGGAAACATAGCAGTTAATTAATTTTAGTGTAACATAAAAGTAAGCCATATGGAAAGGTTTGGGCCAGTTTTTTCCCACTTTTGCCTTTAACTAGCTAATCGAAGTCAAATGACCACGCTGTTTTGATTGGGTTGTTTCCTAGTTATGTGGGGGGTTTGTGTCAACGAAATGGATCATTACTCAGTAAATCACTGTCATTCTATTCAACTTTTATTAAAAAATATATGTCTGACATTTATATCATAATCAGAATACTAAAGTATGAAAGCAATGACCAACCCGACACATACTACAGATTTGTTATGTTTCCTATGAACATATGGAACGTCACATGACGTCATATTAGTAACCTTGAAAGCCATTTTTTGGAAGGACTTTATATTTTTCTTTTGTCCAGTAAACCTCTGAAGTAATCGTATTTAGTCGAGCTGATAAAATTGTCTCCAATAATCCGTTTGCCCTGTTTCAAATAATAAAAATGGTCGCCAGGAGTGAGAGAATCAAGCTTGGAACCGCAATAAAAAGAAAAAAGAGAATTTCTTGTGATTTCCTATTCAAAACAGCACAAGAAGGTGTAATAAAGCGTCTGAGTCCGATAAACCAGTATATACCTAGCAATGATCATATACAATTATATTGAGCTCATCAGAAACAGGTGGTTCACACTGGCAACATATTGTTTGAAAACATACTGAATATTGTATTGATTATATTTTTTTATAGATTAAATAAATAGCCTATTCATTAATATATCTGTTAAAAAGTAAAAATACAGGATTGCATTGAATGTGGTTGTAAAGTGTTTGCGATCCGTGATAAGGTATTATTTATTTAAATTCTTGAAAATCCCTCATAATGGAAAGGTTATACTTTTTGATTCCCAAGGTTTACATATCTCCGCCTTAGCCATTGTATATGATTTATAATTAAAGGGGCAAGTGGACTATGTTGTTAAAATCATTTCTCTAACAAACTGTGAAAACAAAATAACATTTTTTTTTGTAGTTTTATTTTCAGTGCTAAGGCATGTTGCTACATAGTAGACCTATCATTGTCTGCTGTTAGATCTACAACCACTGATCCATTCTTGTTATGGTACGAATTGCCTATGTTCTTCGTACAAGGTATACGGAGCAAGCATAGAATAAACTATACCTACAGATTAAATTTAATAATTGAGATATTATTAATTCGTTAATTAAAAAAAATCATGTTGTGTACATCTAGACAATATTTGAGTTTTTTTTATACGGAGAATTTACCGTTCAGCATGTTAAACTAACTATTATAATGAACCGTGCCAGGTTTTAGTCATACTTAATAACTGACCAATAAGACCGTGTTATTTGATAGCCAGGAATATGCGCAGTTCCCACAAAGACGAAATTTCCGTATATTTAGGTTGCCTACAATATGCTTCTCATTCGTGTTGTTTTAGTAGTGGCGGTTACATTTTTTTCTTTTAATTTCAGCTTGAAGGTCATTTTTAAGAAACCTCCTTGATGTTAGTGTGTCGCGGGTTACTTATTAATATTAATATCCATTTCGGTTTAGTCATTGTAATAATGTTCTCTCAGTCGTTTTGCAGTCATTGCATCAGTTAGGAGCCATCGGGTGTCACTGTTAACATAAAGAAGACAATTGCACACAGTAAATCCTAACAAATTCGGCAAACAGAAACCGTCCGAGTGTCATTACAATTTCTGACACCAGTGAGGTTAAAAGCTTGCAATCGTAAGTTTATTCAGTTGAATTTAATGCTTTACTTTCAAGATACTTGATATCATTTAAGTAAGAAGTAACTAATTTTTGTTTTACATTCAATGTTATTTTCTTTTTGGTGATACAAAATTATATTGAAACGTTACATGTTAGGTGTCTTTTTTTTCCCAACAAAACTCCTTTCAAATATTTTAAAGGTAGATGTTCTTGCGTTCATTTGTACTTGTTTGGGTGGTATCATGTGTATGGTGTATACCGTTGGGAAAACTTAAAGGTTAGTTAAGAGTAAATTAATCAATTATTTTGATGTTCTCACTTTTCTTTACAATGTTTTCTACACTATAAACAAACCTCAGTGAAAATTCAGAGTTATGTTTTATATATCTATCTGTTTCTTTGATTATTTGTTTTCTTGTGAAGTCAGCATTGTGCCATTGAAAGCGTTCAACAATAAATATTTTGTACCAGTATTTATTACAGGTTATAATGTGTTTTATGTCTTTAAAAAATATTCTATCAATAAAGCAAAGTCACAGTTACTGGAATTGGGTGCAGTGGTAAATAGAATTATTATTATCTATTTACAGTATTGTATGCAATATAGTATCACCTGTAATAGCTATCCGTTTAACTCTTTAGAAATGTATATGTTGCTAGACATATCAATGTACGTGAATCATTAAAGAAATTGTAAACTAAGAAAAACAAATCGATACCCAGAACAGCATCGTAGCCCTGACTTTAGCTTTTGACCACAATTATGCATATAATGCATTTAGTGTAGAGATGTTTAAGACAATGTTTATGAATTGTGTGAATTGATGACTGGCACAAGTTTAGAATGTAGGCCTTAGAGAATAATATTGATCTTTAGGAATTATACATTAGAGGGTGGTACCTGTGTTAACTGTGCTGAGTTTTACTGATAAAAGAAAGTAACGTTTACTAAGTACCTGCTTATTAGTGCTTGTGTATTATAATGATCTATTTTTCGAGATATTTTTAAAAACAATTATCGATATATTAATACTGCCTTTAATAATTACTGAATGTATTTTTTTTTCCATAAAAAAGTATGTATCTGTGTAAGGTATATGAATGTTCACTGGCATGTAATATAAAGAACAGAGCAGCATGTGTATAAAGTGTCATGCTTAGGCCAATGTATACCTGGAGAAGTATGTGTATGTGAAAAATCACACAGAATAATAATAATAATAATAATAATAATAATAATGATAACGATAACGATAACGATAACGATAATGATAATAATAATAAATGATAATAAATAAATAATAATAATAATAATAATAATAATGATAATAATGATAATGATGATAATGATGATAATAATAAATGATAATAAATAATAATAATAATAATAATAATAATAATAATAATAATAATAATTATAATTATAATTATAATTATGATTATTAATATTATTATTTCGAATTTCATTTATGTTAAGGTAATAAGAATTGTTTCTCACCAGTAGCTTCCAATCCGCATTCTCGGACTTTTTTTTAGCAGAATGACATTGGCAAGTAGCCATCCTCTACGTCACCGATGACGTAATGGTGACGGGTGCGCTCTGCGGTGATGCGCAGCAGAACGTCCACCCGAACCCCCTCCTCTTGGGTTGGTGTAGGAGGTCGTCGTAGACAAGGGACATTTCGTACCCTCCTTCATCCCTATACATGGTGTTGTTATTGCGTATTGACGCAATAACACCACCATGAATAGGGATGAACGTTCTGCGTGAAATTATGAATTTATTTGGAATTAATGAAATGTTGATAACAATGAAAAATGAAATTATTTGATAATAATAATAATAATAATAATAATAATAATAATAATAATAATAATTATAATAATAATAATAATGCTAATAATAATTATAATGTAATAATAATAATGTAATAATAATAATAATAATGTAATAATAATAATAATAATCATAATTCTATTCAAGAGTACAAACATACATAGGAGGGATCAGACGAAGGAGGAAGACGTTTATATCAACAATGCTTTCATCTTCACCCCACCCCCCCCCAAAAAAAAAAAAAAAAAAAAAAAAAAAAAAAAAAAAAAAAAAAAAAAAAAAAAAAACAAGAATAGACATACACATTCGTTCAAATTCTATTAATTATCAATTTTGCTATTGAAAAAAATAGTAACAGTTTTAAGGCTGTTTGGTGAAGTTGAGTTTTGTATTTTAATTGACAGACTATTCCAAATGGGCAGTATATAATTTAGGTGTGTTATATATGTGTGACCTTCCTATTTGAGTGTGTTACATTGGGCAATCGGAAAAAGACTATGAATAGTTGACAGTATTTGACAGTATTTGTCAGTAGTTGACAGTATTTGTTTCAGATGTATCCTGCACTAACCCTTCTGGAGACCGTAACGACTTTAACGATCTGAGAGATCTTCGTAAGCAAATCCGCGATGCCCACAATTACTATCGATGTCTCCATGGTGTACCTGTAAGTTATTATTTCAATCTTCTAACGCTTTATTTACTTGCATAATTTCATTAAAAATAACAAAATAAGAGTTTTAATAAGGAAGAGAGAAATAAATATGTGTGATGCATACCATTTAGCGTTGTGCGATTATTCTCTATTAATAGACGTTGTATTTTGAAGTACCGAAAATAATGATGTTAAAGGTAATGACGATGATGATGATGACGACGATGAAGATGATGATGATGATGATCATTGTCATCATCATCATCATCATCATCATCATCATCATCATCATCATCATCATCATCATCATCATCATGTCAGACATTATGTTGTAATTGTCAGACATTATGCTATAATTACGTATTTCATGGTTCTACAGAAAAACCCCTTTTAAACATCATCTACCTGCAAACCCTGCAGATATACATAGTATTGCATTGCAATAATTTGAATATGTTGGCTAAAACAAACATTGCAAATTAACCAGGAGTAAAGTTTCTAGAAGGTTTGAATATGTTTGACTGAAGGTGAAGATGCTTGCCTTCCAATCTCAGTCGGGGTTAAAAAAATATCCACTCTCTGACCCTCATAATGAGATTTAGTTTGTGTAGGCCATTCTGTGTATTGGCTTGTGAAGGGTTATGCCCTTAAAATGTGATTAGGTTTACTGGTAAAGCTTTGGCCATCGACCTAAAAAAGAAATGAAATGGAATTCAAGTTATGAAGTGTGTAGATTTAGGGGTGAACTTACTGCACGCGTGCAATTTTTTTTAACAGCCTCTTAAACTACAAGGGAAACTCAATAAGTATGCCCAGAAAGCTGCCGAGGATAATGCCAGGAAAGGAGCACTGATGCCTTCTGGTGGACTTTACGGCGAGAACTTATATAGCTCATATGGAGTTCCGGTCAATGGTATGTCTTATTAGATACTGCATTATAAATTGTATTTGTCCTGAACCCCATCCTTTATCAAACTAGGATCGCAATACTTCACACTACCAAACAGCAACATTTATGTTTGTAAGTCTCTTAGAATATCTTCTCCCCGTGCTCTCTTTATGTGTGAGCTACCCGGTAAACTGGTACCAGCTACTCCCATGTGTCGACAGCAGGGGTGTATGGATCAGTACACCGCTTGGGAAACCGAATATTCGTCTCAAAAGATGTACTTGGTTCTTTTAATTGCACATTTTGTTTTAGGTACTTAAGTACCGAATAACAGCCAAACATGGATGTGTACCTAACTCGTATTTACTTTTTCTTACATTTCATTGTTGTAGGTTTGGCTATCACTAAATTTTGGTATGATAAGATTAAGGACTACAATTTCAACTATCCAGCATTTAGTTCAAGTAAGTTTACATAAATAATGATAAACAATCAAATGCCGCCCAACAATTTCGCCATTCAGATGAATGTTCACATGTACTTCTGTTATAAAAGATTATTGGCAAATCATTGCTAATTAAAGTATACATTATACGCATTGTATTCTATGTAGTTCTATTTGTACATTATACGGCGCTAATTCCAACCAATCTGATTTATGCGGTTAAACACACGAACTTTGAACAAAAATAACCAGTCTACTTCTCAAACTAAGCCTATTTCTTTACTTAAATATGAATGGCCGGATAAATCCGATGGAATCATCTTACCATTTTTTCAGCTGTTTTCTTTGCTGCTGTGTAACGATAACACACACTCTCCTCTGTAGCCGCTAAGATACGTCTGAGGGGATTGTTGGATTAGTCACTGGCGGCTCAACCAAAATCAGTTTAATGTCTTGCGCAGGACTGCCTAACTAATGTTGGAAAAAATATCCAACAAAAAAAGTCATCGGAATAAGTAGAACAAAATGAATAAGGCAATTTATTTACATTCCCAGGTAACAATCCCACATGGGGCCCATATGCAAAATATCTGGGAAAAGTCTTATGGGCTACCCCATATTTTTCCTTTATGGGATCCGTCTGGGCAATCACATATGGGCCTTGCCCATGGTTTACCCATATGGTTTGATATTTAACATTTATATTTTTTTTGCGACAGTAATCAATTACACTTTTAGTAACAAGTGTTTATTTTAATTTATATAGCAATCAATATCAATGCATCTTTTCTGAATGTATTTCTATGCGTTTATACTATAATGCATTTTTCCTGCAGCAACCGAAGTGCAAAGATCATTTCCGCTGTTAAGCTTTTTGGACGAAAACTACAACGCGACTCTGGATACACTCTACTTGAGAGCTCATAAACCTTTTTTAGGACAACCCTTCTAAACACTATTCCAAACAGTGCTTAGTACAGAAATACCTCTGTAGCCATCGCAGCTACCCCGATCACCTTTATTTTCATATAGAGGAGTAATGATGTTAGCATCCTTTAGATCTTGAGGAATAATGACTTTTCACAACAGATGCACATAAGATTATGGGACCAAAACTTTTGACAACCTCGTTAGAAATGCCATTTTCCAGCAGCTTTGCGAGATTGCAGGTTAATAACAGCTGCCTTTATTTCTTCAATTAAGGGATGTGCATCAAGCTCAAACATGGTAAAAATAACTTCTGACAAATTTCCAAAGCTCTTTGTGTCTGCTGAATAGAGGTTGGAGAAAATGTTCAACCCATCTACTGTAACTTAGCTGGTCTGCACGATATGCCTGTAAGTTAACTCTGCTCTCTTTGATTGGAGCTCTTTTCCTGACTAAAAGGACAAATAGCCTTCTTAATGCCACCATATATGCTTTTGGTGTTTCCGGAGTTGGCATCCTGCTGAATTTGCGAACTTAGCTTTTTCCAGTACTCACTTCTGGTTAACTTGATAGCAGCCAGATTTTTCTCTGTTGGAAAAATTGTGTAGATCTCTAGGGCTTCCTTTTTTTTTGTTATAAAAGGCATTATTTTTTTTTCGACTTTGCATCAAACCATTTAGAATTCTTCTTTGTAGCTCTGTCATAAGCCTTGACTTCGGCATCATGCACTGCAACTTTTATAGTTTGCCATTACACCCAGTGCCTCTCAGACAGTTTTGTGTGATCAAGATTATTTTCAACACCTTTACATGAGATTTGGAGTTCTTGAAGTTATGCTTGCTATACATCATTATGATGCCGTCAAATGATTGAGTAGTTAGTATCACAAATAACACTCTGATATCTTGATGTTATTCAAAAAAACGTTCAGTTTTGACATGTTTTTAGGTTTTAGGTCTAGGATAACGCCATGATACTTTATGTGAGATATTGGATTGAAATAGGGTGTTAGTGATGCACAATTGGTTAAGTGCTCTTAATTGCAGCAGACAATGACCATTATCGTTCATTTTACCAATTCCAAAATGACCAAGGCAAGATGGCCATGCTGAGCAATCCTTACCCACTCTTGCATTGAAATCACCAAGTATGATGAGGTGGTTGTCATGTGGGATAATTTCAAATTGTGCTTTATCTTCAGAGTAGAAGGCATTTTTGACCTCATGATCAGCTAGGAGGGTGGGTGCATATATGCTCTAATAAATTTTACCGCTTTACCTTCTGTTTAAACTTCCAGGGAAATTAATTGGTCAGCGGCTCGACTTTTTTCCTCAGTTATTTTTAGAACCTTCAGTCTTCGCTTTCCAGATGAAAGTGTATTCCTTTTCCTGAAGCATTCCTGTGCCTAGAAATCTTAGACAGATGTGTTTTTTTGTTTGTTTTGTTGTTTGTTTGTTTTTTTTTTTATTGTATTAGAGCATGAAATGATAATATTAATGAAAACCGTAAGGTTAGAGCCCACACACTGTGCAAGTCACATGTTTTAACATGGCCCAGTGTGTATGCAGAACGCATCATTACCAAACCAAGACCCCCACCCATGAATGTCATGGTATATTTATTGCAAATTCAACCTTCAATGTCTTTTGCTACGTTGATGACTTATTACTTGTTATTCCCACCTCGACTGGACTTTAATTCCAATTAATTGTACAACTAAATATATCTCTAATGGTCCCAATTGAAATTATGCAAAACCGCATGTACCGTTTTTGGAAAAATAAATAAATTTAAAAAAACAAAAAAAAAAACACTCTTTTCCCAGATCCATCTTCGTCTCTTAATAAATTTGATCTAAAAGTCACGGACTCGTTAACCTATCTTAAAATGCATCAAGTCGATTTTTCACTTTAACTTTAAACATTATAATGAAGCTTGTTTTTTGAAGAGTGTTTTTTGGGGAAAAAACATTCTTTTCCCACATCTATCTTGGTCTCTTAATAAATATTATCTAGAAGTTAACCTATCTTGGAATGCTTCAAATTTTCGCTCTAACATGTCTTGAAGCTTGTCAGAGTTTAGTAAATGTAACTGCATCTTTTTAGTTGTTTTGAGGACATTACTAGAGGATTATGGTCACTTCCACAATCAGCACCAGGATGTGTACGAGCATTATGAAAGAATTTTTGAGTCGCTTGGTAATGATTATTCATTCATTCATTCTTTTATTTAGGAATCACTAATTTTTCTATATATAAACAGAAAAATTAAATCAGCAAAAGATTTTTAAATAAACTAATATTAAGAGTAATTATTTTTCTATTGAGAAAACTTATTTGATTCATGTAGTATTTTTTGAAATACAGTGGAAACTACATTGTTTGTAATTTTACATATGAAGCTATTATAAAGATTTCATAAGAAACAACATTATTGTCACTCAATGTGGAGAATAAGTCGGTGAATACAGGACCGTACAATTTGATGCTTCTAAGCAAACACAAAAGTAACACTTACTATCAATATTTTGTAAACGAAATTGCCTATATTCCAGTAGCGCAAAGAAAATGGGAAAACAAATTCATTAACAAAGATATAGATTGGAAAAATGTATGGAATAATAAGGTAAACTCTATGCGACATGTCTCAAAAGTCGCACAATTTAACTTTAAATTGTTCCACCGCATTTTATCATGTAAGAAGAGACTTAAAAACTGGAATTTAGTCAGTACCGACCTATGTGATAAATATGAGAATGAAATCGATGACGAAGAGCATATGTTAGTGTAAAACCATCCAATTTGCCAGAAATAAATTTAATGCTATGCTTATCAAATGTTTTCAAAATCATGAACAACATTTCTTAAGCTTCTTTACAATAATAACCGGAACCAACAACAAACTGGTAAACGAATTAACTTCGTTGTTCACATTTTGTTTATATAAGTCATGTTTTATAATATAAATAAGATCTAACAATGTGTTAAAAATCTGCAATAGCAATATCTTACAAATGTATTATATTTCGCAATAGTGACAAATTATTTTATTGTTCACAGCTTTTAATATCAATTTTACTTTTAAGATCTGAATGTCATTATTATTAATACAGCATTGGTCAACGTTCTTTTTTCCCAATTATATTTTTCCACTATCGCATTTTATGATTTTAATAATAATAACTCGCAATATACTTGGTGTATAAGTACTATAAGTTTATTATAGTTAAGAGCTATTTTTATATTCATATTACACCTCTATATAATTTTCACAGATCTAGAAATTTTTACTCCTCATCACGTAATTAGCGATTAATTTATTTTTAATAGATGTCAAAGCAATGTCTTACCAGGATAGATAAGGGGTGGGGGGCTCCAAATCCCTTCTACTATGTACGACAGAGGTATACTTTCTTTGAGAAAGTTATCCCATAGCCTAGCATCAAGTTGTCTGGCTAGAGACATGCATCAAGCATGCTAAGCTATATTACAACATGGTGTCCTACTTCTACACTCTGAAACAAGAAACAAAGTACATTCCAGTCTTTTTCAAAATAAACAAGAAGATTGTCATGACCAGTCGACAGTCAACAAACCTCTTTTAAAATAAGATAGTAACTTGTAAGAGTATAACATATACTATCCCAACAATTTCGTTGACCAAAAAGCTGGACTCAATTATGTCCACATTAATAATAATAATAATAACAACAACAACAACAACAACAACAACAACAACAACAACAACAATAACAATAACAATAATAATAATAATAATAATAATAATAACAAAGGTTATTATAAACAACAATTTATCAAATTTTATTATTCTTAAAAAAAGGCAACTTCTAATTTAATAACTATTTTTTCCACTGGTGCAGAAATTACTACAAAAAATATTACAAAATTTAAAAAGGTATACAGTATTCAAAAAAAAAAAAAGGTACATTAGGTTAGTTACAGTAATCATGACAAATATTATGTTATTATGAGTAAAATAGTAAATACAGAAGTTGTATTGCACTACTGGTAAGAGTAAAAGAAGCATTAAATTGTGAGTGGATTTCCCATACGATTAAAAATCGTAACGGTACTGGGTTTGGTCTACAGGAGTTGTGCTTCGAACAGGTCATTCCGTTCATAGAATAATCTTTTTGATGGAGAAAGTGTACCTATTTAGCAAAGGCTTGCCCAGGTCGAAACTAACTCCGGCTATATAAAATTGATTATAACAGATTGTAAAATATTAATCTTATGATTGTAGTAGTAATACTATGTACACATTTAAATTAATGTTATTTTTTTATTTTGTTAACGTCATTATATTTACATTTAAATTTAATGTATTGTTTAAGTATGAATTACTATGTCCATGTAAAATTATTATTTTCTATAAAAAAATGTATATTTTAAATAATATAGTAATAGGCATAGCCGAGGTCTAGCCTAGGTATAAACGAGTGAATATATGTCATGTGAGTGTATAACAGTATGAAAATCTGAATAAAACGTCAAATTATGAAAGAATAAAGGAAGAAGGAAGAATAGGAAAGAGATTTGGAGCGGCTGAAATATTTCTGAAAATATACAATAATAGTCAATATGCTAGTATTATTGCATTACGTTTTTGTAAACAATTTTGGGCACTAATCGTCAGAAGTCAAGGTGCCCCAGTCTACACTTTTCATAATTCGAAATTGAATCGGACCTTATGTATGTTAAAGTATGAAAAATTATTGATAAAAAAGCAGTACTCTATATATTAAAATACATAAAAAAAATAATATAACGGTATAATTGCGGGTAAAATATTATATTGAGTAACAGCAGCCAGGATCAGTTTCTCTTAGCTATTGCATTATACCGGTAAAATGGCATTAGGTATGAAGGAAAATCTTTTATGTTTGGTCATAGGGACAGAGAGTCGGAAACATAACCTACTGAATGTAAAGTAGGAACGCAGCTCATGAGTTGCATCCTTCATGATAGCTTTTAACTTTTGAACAACACGGTCTTCAAATATACTTTCAATGAATAGAAGATGAATACCAATACACTTAGCTGCGGCTTTTCTTAATTCGTTCTAATTATTTCTTATTTTGTTCACTTAAACTACCAAAACACTTAATATACAAATTATTAACACACTTTTAACCATGCTCTGATATATTTGTAGAATCTTGTTATCAACATTGTATGTGTATATATGTATGTGTATATGTATATATNTTGCTGTCTCTTATACACATCTAGATGTGTATAAGAGACAGATATATGTATATATATATATATATATATATGCACATATTTGGGTGGGGTACTGTATGCACGTAATGTGTATTATGTACATTATTTGTGTGGGGAGGGTGAGGGATGTTTATGATTTATTTAAGATCTAATTTGTATTTTCTTTCGTTAAGTTCTTTCATTTGTTTAGCTTTAAGTTGTTGTTTTACTCTTTGTTCATAAGTTATTTCACTTGTTTAGCTTTAAGTTGTTGTTTTACTCTTTGTTCATTAGTTTAAGTTTGACTGCGCCACTTTCTTGTGTGCTGCCACTGATGTAAAAGTGTAATGTCAATAAATATTATTATTATTCATTGTACTGTTTAAGTTTCCATGGAAAGAAAAGTCTCAGGTTAGCTTTCCTTGAATTGCTTTAACTTGTGAATTAAATCTGAGTTTAGAGTCACAGTTCCTAAATATTTGATTTCAGTTACTTGTTCAATAAGTTTTCCATTCATAATTAATTGATCATGATTTACATTTCTTCTCTGAAAATCGAATAGTATTTCTTTTGTTTTGGAGATTGTTATTCTGACACCAGAGGGAAAGAGTAAATTTCTTAAAGTAACTTTCTGCGCCACCAGACAGGAAGCTAGTGATGTCGTCTGCAAATTTGATGATCACGTTGTTACTTTCAGCTTTATTGTAGTTAGTGGTATAAATTAAAGAAAGGACAGGACTCAAAACGCACCCTTGTGAAACTCCAGTGTTGCAGATCCTAGTAGCAGATTGAACAGAGTTTTCAATGCAAACAAATAGTGGCCTTCCAGTTAAAAATGTAATTTTGGATTTACTTTCATATTTCTGAGTTTCTTAAACATGTGTGTAGAATCATGTGTGTAGAAGGCACTTGAAAAATCTACAAACAGTGTACGAGCATATTTCCCAGGTGATTCTAGATGCTGATTAATATTATGTAGCAGGACAAATGTTGCATCATCTGTTCCTCTATTTTGTCGATAAGCGAATAGTAGTGGATCAAATAGCATATTGTTATCTGACATCAAAATATTTAGGACAATAGTTCTAGGTATTTCATTATGTTAGAAGTTAAAGCACGTGGTCTGAAATCCTTTGGAGAAGATGAGATAGTTTCCATTTTTTTCAGGGATGATTCCTTCATTCAATGATTTGTTGAATAATCGACAGAGGATATGAGCCAGCTCATTGCGGCATAATGTCAGTACTTGCTTACAAATGTTATCAGGTCCAGTGGCCTTTTTGTGTTTTTAGCGAGGACAGCTTTCTTACAACATCATGTTCATTAATAATTAAATTTTCTATGTTAGCGCTTTCAAGTCAAATTGCCATTTCTTTCTTTTTGAGTCCTTTTTCGTGATCAGTATCATCAAATCAACAATAAAAATTATTCAGTTTATTTGCAAATTCTAGTGATGCATCAATTGTTTTTTTTGTCTTTGTTTCTTTTTTGAACCAGCAATGTCATGCAGTATTTTCCCCTCTCTTCCCCCAATCTCTCTCCCCCACCTCTCTCCCTCTCTCCCTCTCTCCCTCTCCCCCTCCCCCTTTCCTCTCTCTCTCTCTCTCTCTCCCTCTCTATAATTATATATTTCCATCTAAATGTATTAATTTGATCTATCACGTTTTTGTAACAGAACTAAATTACTTACTGTGAATATATTTTGATGTTTCCGCAGGTCAATTCAGCCAAGTTGTTTGGTTAAGCAGCACCGGTCTTGGATGTGGATACATAAAAAATGCGAACGAATGGAGTTATATTGTATGTAGTTATGATCCTCCAGGTAACATCCCAACACCCGAGCAGTTCAGCAAAAATGTGCCACTACCGTTGTATACAATAAACAACAATGACTATATATGAACACATGACGTTATACAATGTTGTATGCCTTATATTATGTTAGCCTGATTCGTCCATTAATGCTAAATTCGAGGTACTGTATATGTCATTCGAATCTTAACGACACATTTTAGAAAGTACTCGTTGAATAAAAACATGCGGATATTATCTATCTTATTTCACCAGTCGTTTTTTCGTCTTCATCAGAAATAAGTTAAAATGTATTCATTTAGC